GCCGACGCGGTGCCGGTACCGGTGATCGCCTCGGGCGGCGCCGGCACGGTGGAGCACCTGGCCGAAGGCCTGCGCGACGGCCATGCCACCGCCGTGCTGGCCGCCAGCATCTTCCATTTCGGCGAAATCTCCATCGCCGAGGCCAAGCGCGGCCTGGCCGCCGCCGGCCTGCCGGTGCGCCCGGCCGAGGTCTCCGGCGAGCCCCAGGAGCTCGCCCTGCGCACCGACCCGGCCGCCCCGGCGGAGGCGCCGAACGACGGCCCCGGAGGCACGGCATGAGCGACGTTGCGGTCCTGGAACGGCTGCTCGCCACCATCGCGGCGCGCAAGGGCGCCGACTCCAGCGCGTCCTACACCGCCAAGCTGCTGGCGCGCGGCGTGCCGAAGATCGCCCAGAAGGTCGGCGAGGAGGCCACCGAGACGGTGATCGAGGCGGTGCGCGGCGACCGCGCCGCCCTGGCCGCGGAGAGCGCCGACCTGCTCTACCACCTGCTGGTGCTCTGGGCCGCCAGCGACCTCGACCCGCAGGAGGTCTGGGAGCAGCTCGCCAAGCGCGAGGGCAGCAGCGGCCTCGCCGAGAAGGCGGCGCGCAAGCGCGACTGAGCCGCCCCCGGCGGAAATTCCCCAGCGATTGACGTGCAATTTATCGCGGGGAGTCCGCCAATAGGCTGTTTCATCGTATAACTTCACGCATTCAAATTCCCGATTAAGAATGCATTCACTTTTTGCGGGAGATGCTTGCCATGACTCGCGCAAAAGTGGAGGCATTCGGCATGGTCCCCTTGCAATCCTCCCGCGGCCGACGCCAGCGGCTGCGCATTGTCCACCGCATCGGCGGCGGCTATGCCGCGCTGCTGCTTCTGCTGCTCCTGGTCGCCGGCATCGGGCTGACCGCCCTGCGCGGCTTCGACGCCCGCTTCGAGGCCTATGCCGACTCCGCCGGCACGCTGGACCGGGTGATGGGCCTGGAAAAGGACCTGGCCAGCCTGGAACGCGACCTGCGCGCCTTCCTGCTGACCCCGAATGACGCGAACCGCGCCGCCGTCGACCAGCAGCTCGGCGACTTCCGCGCCGCCCTGGCCGCCGCCCGCCGGGAGGCGCCCGACGGCGACAGCGGCGCGGCGCTCGCGCGGATCGACGCAGCGCAGGACGGACTGGCCAGCGACCTCGCCCGCCTGGTCGAGACGGTCTTCGCGCGCCGCGCCCTCTTGCCCGAACAGGTCGAGCCGATGAACGCCAGCGTGACCGCGGCGCTCGACGACCTGATCGCCGGATTGCGCGGCATCGGGCGCAACGACCTGGCCCACGACGCCTTTGCCGCCCGGCTTCTCTATCAGCAGACGGCGACGGCGCTGACCCGCTACCTGGAAAGCGGCGTCCCGGCCCGCCAGGCGGAGCTGTCGGCCAGCCTGAGCGCGCTCTCGGCGCGGCTCGACGAGCTGGATAGCCAGCTCGCCGGCCTGCCACAGGCCCGGCTGCTGGCCGCCGTGCGCGGGCACCGCCCGGCCTTCCTGGCGATCATGGAGGAAACCGAGCGGCTGCTGCGCACCGAGGCCGAGCTGGTGGCCACGGTCACGCAACTGGGCAGCGACATCGACGCGCAGATCGAGGACCTGCGCAATGACGGGGCCGCCAAGCAGGACAGCCTGCTCGCCGAAGCGCTCGCCAACGGCGCGCGCGCGCAGGCCACCAACGTCCTGGGCGCCGCCGTGGCGCTGGTGCTGGGCGTGGCCCTGGCCCTGCTGATCTCGCGCGGCATCGCACGCCCGCTGCGGGCGATGTCCGGCACGATGGCCCGCCTGGCCGAGGGCGACACCGACGTCGAGGTGCCCGGGCGGGCGCGCGGCGACGAGATCGGCGAGATGGCCGCCGCCGTGCAGGTCTTCAAGGAGGCGGCGCAGACACAGGCCCGGCTGGAGGCCGCGGCGGCGGACGAACAGGCGGCCAAGGAACAGCGCAGCACGCAGGTCGAGCGCCTGATCGGCGAGTTCGACCGCTCGGTTGGCGAGGGCCTGGCCGCCGTCACCGCGGCCGCCAGCGAGCTGGACACGACGGCCCGGCAGATGTCCGAACTGGCCGAAGGTGCCAGCCGCCAGCTCGCGGAGACCTCGGCGTCGGCGGCGCAGACCTCGGCCTCGGTGCAGACCGTCGCCTCCACCACCGAGGAGCTCTCGGCCTCGACTCAGGAGATCAGCCGACAGGTCAGCGACTCGACCGAGATCGCCCGACAGGCGGTGAGCGAAGCCGAGCGCACCGACGAGACGGTGCGCGGCCTGGCCGCCGCCGCCGAGCGGATCGGCCAGGTGGTCGGGCTGATCTCGGAGATCGCCGAGCAGACCAACCTGCTGGCGCTCAACGCCACGATCGAGGCGGCGCGCGCCGGCGAGGCCGGCAAGGGCTTCGCCGTGGTCGCCTCCGAGGTGAAGACCCTGGCCAGCCAGACCGCCAAGGCGACCGAGGAGATCAGCCAGCAGATCGGCGAGATGCAGCAGGCCACCGGCGGCGCCGTGGCGGCCATCGACGCGATCACCCAGACCGTGCAGCGGATCGACGCGATCGCCGCCACCATCGCCTCGGCGGTCGAGCAGCAGACCGCGGCGACCGGAGAGATCTCGGCCAACGCCCAGCAGGCGGCGGGGGGCACCCAAGCGGTGGCCGACACCATCGCCCAGGTCACCGACGCGGCCGGCCAGGTCGGGGCCACCGGCGAACGGGTGCTCGAGGCCTCGGGCGGGCTGGCGCGCCAGTCGGAGAGCCTGAAAGGCCAGGTGGAAGCCTTCCTCGCCGCCATCCGCGCGGCCTGAGGCCGGCGACACGCGGCGGCCGAAGGCGCCCGGGGGAGCCGCGCCGGAGTTGCCCGGTCCGAGGCCGCCGCTTGCGAAGCTTGGGCGATGGTGTGACTTCGGTGCGGGCGCGATTCGGGGCGGCCGGGCGAGTCCCGCGTCGGCCGCTCGCTCGCGGGGGGGGGCTCGTCCTGCCGCAGGACCTGCCCCCGACGCCGGTTGCGCGTGGCCGGCGGCCCCGGTCAGGCGGCCGTGCGCGGAAAGCCGCCCTACGCCAGCCGCCCTACGCCGCCTTCACAGCCTGCAGGAAGCCCTGGATTCGCGCGCCCAGCCCGCTCGACTGCTCGTTGACCTTCACCGAGGCGTCGAGGACCTGGCCGGCCAAGCGGCCGGTGCTCTGCGCCGCGGCGCTGACGTCGCCGACGGTGGCGCTCATGCGCTGGGCCGCGGTGGCGACCTCCTCGATGGTCTTGGAGATCTCGCTGGTCGCGGAGTTCTGCTCCTCGATGGCGGCGGCGACGCTGGCGGTGATGCCCTCCATGTCGCCGACCCGCTGGGTGATCTCGCGGATCGCCGAGACGGCATTGGCGGTGCGCTGCTGGATCGCCTGGATCTGGCCGGCGATGTCCTCCGTGGCCTTGGCGGTCTGTCCGGCCAGCGACTTCACCTCGGTCGCAACGACGGTGAAGCCCTTGCCCGCCTCGCCGGCGCGCGCCGCCTCGATCGTGGCGTTGAGCGCCAGCAGGTTGGTCTGCTCGGCGATCTCCGAGATCAGCGAGACGATTTCGCCGATGCGCTCGGCCGCCTCGTTCAGGGCATCGACCACCTGGGAGGTCTCGCCCGCCTTGCGGGCGGCGTCGCGCGCGACGTCCGAGGCCTTGGCGACCTGGCCCGAGATCTCGCCGATGGACGAGGAGAGCTGGTTGGTCGAGGCGGCCACGGTCTCGACGCTGGCGGAGGTCTCCTCGGCGGTGGAGGCGACGCTGCCGGCCTGCTGCTCGGAGGCGGCGGAGGTCTCGCCCAACTCCTGCGAGGTGGTCTGCAGGCCGGCCCCCGCCCGGCCCAGCTCCTCGAGCAGGGACTGGACGTCGCGGTCGAACTGGGCCGTCACCTGCTCCAGCCGGTGGGCTCGGTCCAGGTCGGCCTGTTGGCGCGCCGCGGCCTCGGCCTGCAGCTCCGCGCTGCGGAGCATGGAGTCGCGGAAGACCCCGACGGTGCGCGCCATCTCGGCCAGTTCGTCGCGGCCGCGCGTGTCCACCGTCACCGTCTTGTCGCCCTCGGCCAAGCGCTGCATCCCGACGGTGAGGCGGCGCAGCGGCGCGGTGATCGAGCGGCCGATCAGGATGCTGACCGCCACGACCAGCAGGCCGATGACGCCGATCAGGCCCAGGGTGATGGTAAAGGCGCGCGCATCCCGCGCGGCGTCCACCGCCGCGGCGTCGCTGTAGCGTCGCTCCAGCCGCTCCCGCAGGGCGGCGAGCTGCGGCGCGACCAGGCCATAGAGCCGCGAGAGCTCTTGCGTCCGGGCCTCCAGCTCGCGCCGGGTCTCGGCGAAAGCGACGAAACGCGCGCCGTAGGACTCGACCGCGGCCACCAGGTTCTCCCGCGTTTCGGCCGGAATGTAGCTGAGGGCCTCCGCCGCCTCGACGAAGCGCCCGACGATCTCGCCATGCTTGCCGACATCGTCGGGCTCGAGCCGGATGATGAAGTCCTTCTCGGCCCGGCGGAGCTGCAGGAGCTGCACCATCAGGCCCTGGGCGAACTGCGCCTCGATCTGCGCCTCGGCCGCGTGTACGGCGGCCCGAAGCTCGCCCCGCAGCCCCTGGGTCTCGTCGAGGCCCAGCCGCTGCCGGAGGGCGAGCGCGCCGGCGAAGCTGTCGCGATAGGCGTCGAAGACCCGCGCAATCTCGGCCAGCGTCTCGGCGTCCGCGCCCGCAAGCCGGTCCTGCAGGGCCGACAGCTTGTCGCGCACCGCCTCGCCGTGGCGCCGATGGGCCTCGGCCGCGGCCGGGTCCTGACGGCGCAGGAACTCCAGCTCGTGCCCGCGAAGCTCGGCGAGCCCCTCGGCAATGCCGCGCACGAGGGTGACCTCTGCGAAGGCCTCGGCGCGCAGCCGCGCCGTGCGCTCGCCGGCGGCGTCCGACCACAGGGTCACGCCGGCAACGGCCAGGAAGCCCGCCAGGGCGATCAGCGAGACGAGGAGAATGCGGTGGGAGATCTTCAGGTTGCGCACGCGGCCGGCCCTCGAGCAATTCCACAAGCGGCCGGGCGGGGCCGCCCTTGCGTAGCGCGGCAAGTCTGCGCGAGCAGAGTCGAAAAATTCCTTAATTCGGATACGAAAGCCCGGCCGCGCCAGGCGCGGCCAGGCCCGGCGGGGCCCCGCCGCAGCGGGGCTGGGGCAGCTCGGGCTTCGCGAGCGGAGGCGAAGCGCCGACCCAGAGATGTATAGATTGCGTTTTACACGCGGCTTGACTGCTGGGGGACAAGATTTGCCCGCGATTCGTCAATGGCGGTAACGGGCCATTAGGAAGTGATGCAGTCAATTTCCTCCCGCTCACCCGGCCGCGGCACGCTCGCGGGACCGGGTCCGCACCGGCATAGAAGGGGATGGGCAATGAAGATGCGATCGATCGGGATGCGTCTGGCGCTGGCCGGCGCCGGCCTTCTGGCGGTCCTCCTGGGGGGTGGCCTGGTCGTCCTCTCCTCCACCGTGAGCGGCGTGGTCTCCGACCTGGCCGTGACCCGCCTGGAGGAGACCGCGCGCGCCCAAGCCGAAGAGGCGCGGACCCGCCTGGCCGAAGCCATGCAGGCGGCACGGGTGCTGGACAGCGGCACCGAGGGTCTGCTGGCGGCAGGCCTGGCCGAGCGCGCCCAGGTCACCGCGATGCTGCGCCGGGTGGTGCAGGAGTCCGACACCCTGGCCGGTGCCTGGATGGGGTTCGAGCCCGAGGCCTTCGACGGGCGCGACGCCGCGCTCGCCGGCGGCGAGGGCGGCCCGCTCCAGACCCCCGACGGCCGGTTCGCCCCCTACTTCTACGACTTCGGCCAGGGCGTGGTCGGCCATCACCTGACCGGCATGGACGCGGCGGGCGAGCAGTCGGCCTACTACCAGCAGCCGCTGCGCAGCGGCGCGCCCTACATGACCAACCCCGTGCTGTACGACATCGAGGGGCAGCAGGCCTTCCTGCTCTCGGCCACGGTGCCGATCTCGCGCGACGGCCGGGCGGTCGGCGTGGCCGGGGTCGACATCGACCTCTCCGACCTGTCCGAGACCTTCGCCGCCATCCGCCCCTACGGGGTCGGGCAGGTCCAACTCGTCTCCCACGGCGCGCTCTGGGCGGCGACCGGCGAGGCGGGGCGGCTCGGCGCCCCGGTCGCCGAGACGGCGCCGGCCCTGGGCGCGGCGGTCGAGCGCGCGCTGGACGAGGGCCGCAGCCAGCGGCTGCGCGACGCGGCCGGCGTCCAGCATGTGGTGGTGCCGGCGGAGGTTCCCGGCTTCGGACGCAACTGGGCGGTCGCCGTCTCGGTGCCCGAAGCGGTCCTGCTGGCCGAGGCCACCGCGCTGCGCAACGGCATGATCCTGGGCGGGCTGGTGCTGGTGGCCGTGCTGATCGTGGCCCTGCTGGGGCTGACCCAGACGCTGATCCGCAGGCCGATGAGCCGCACCGTGGCCACCATCGGCAAGCTGCAGGACGGCCAGCTCGACGCGGCCGTCGCGGACACCGGGCGCAGCGACGAGATCGGCGAGATCAGCCGCGCCCTGGAGAGCTTCAAGGAGAACCTGAAGCGCGTGCGCAGCCTGGAGGCCGAGCGGGCCGAGAGCGAGCAGCGCCAGGCCGAGGAGCGTCAGGCGCACCGCGAGGCCCTGGCCGGGGAGTTCGAGCAGATCGTCGGCGGCGCCGTCGGCGCGATGCAGCAGCACTCCACGGTGCTGACGGAGACCGCCGAGCGGCTGTCCGGCACCGCCAAGGACACGCTGGCCCAGTCCCAGGAGGTGGCCGGCAGCGCCCAGAGCGCCTCGGGCAACGTGCAGACCGTGGCGGCGGCGGCGGAGGAGCTCTCGGCCGCCATCCGCGAGATCGCCGGGCGGGCGGTGCGCGCCGCCGACACCGCCAAGTCGACGGCCCAGGAGGCGCAGCAGACCGACCAGTTGGTCTCCAGCCTGTCGGACGCGGTCGAGCAGATCGGCCGCGTGGTCGATCTGATCACCGACATCGCCGAGCAGAC